GGGGAAAGACCATGGGGCGGGGGGGGGGGGGATCATCAGGCCGACCGGGAGGCATCTCCGCACCAGGTACGAGCGCAACACCAGGTAATTGTTGAGGACGCCATTGTGCACCACAACAAACTGGTTCGACGGGTCCGAGGTGTGGGGGTGGGCATTGCCGTCCAGCGGCGCGCCGTGCGTGGCCCAGCGGGTGTGCGCGATACCGATGTGCTGGTCCAGCGAGAGGGCCATGTCGATGGCCGGGTCTTCTGCGCTTGTGCCAAAGACAGGGGGAGGCGCGGTCAGAGGGGGCAGATCACAAGGGGCCGGTGGGAGGCATGGCAGCCGGGAGGCAGGGGGGGGGGGAGGGGGGCGCATCCGCGCGCCCGCCGGCGGCGCACCTTTGACGGCGGCCGACAGGATAGACACCTTGCCGGTCTTCTTGACGATGTGGATGGCCCGCTGGTCGGGGGACCCGGCCTGGAGCAGGTCCACGGCCAGGCCTGAAGGGGGGCGGAGCGGGCCAGGTCAGGGCGGGCGATCGAGAGGGTCAGATGCCTGGCCGATGTATGGGAAGGCGGTGACGGCGGTGACGGCGGCGGCGGCGGCGGCGGCGGCAGGGGAGCGACAGGGGCGACGCACCGGCCGAGTCGTATCCACGGTACTCCTGGCGCTCGAGGCCGCGAAGCAGGAAGGCCGTGATCTCTGCCATGGTCCGCGGGCAGCGGAAGTTTACATAGCCGAAAATTCCTGCCAAGCCCAATGGTCGGATGGGAGGGGGAGGGGGGGGCGAGGGACGCTGGCGGTGTCAGAAGAGGAGGGCACGGCGGAATTCCGGAGATCCGGGGCGCTCTGGCACGTCCGGCGGAGGGGGGAGGGGAGAGGCCGAACGCACCACACATGGCGGCAGTTAAAAGGTCGCGGAAGGGCGCGCTGCCAGCATGAAGGGGCGGTGAAAGGGCGACAGGAGGGGGGGAGGAGGAGGAGGAGAGGAGGGGACAGGGAGTGAGGAAGGGAGGGGGGGGGAGGGGAGAGGCAGGAGGAGATGGGCGTATGGGGCGGTCGGTGCTCCGAGTCGCTCGGGCCCCCCGGGCGAGGCCGCACCCCTTCAGCCACGGCGGGAGGCGGGGCGGGGAGGCCGGCGCGCGGAGGCGGCCAGGGCACACGGCCGGGCGTGCAGGCGGCCAGGGGGGCCAACGGAGAACCACGCCCGGGCGGACCAACAGGGCATGTTTACTTTTTTCCGGCCCATCTGCCGACAGATTGCCTGCCGCGTCAACTCGGGTGGGTGTGCGTGTCTGCGATCGCGCCGGGCCCCCGGGGCGGGGGGCCCCGCCGCCATCGTGACCGCGGCAACTTTGGCGGCTTGTTCGGACACCCAGCGCGACGGACGCCGGAAAGGCCCCTCCCCCCCGCACCCGGCCGGGCGGTCGGCTGGCCGGCTGTCGGGCAAACAAGACGGTGTTGGCGCGCGCGCGCGCGCGCGCAGTGTGCGCGGCCGCCATGGCGCCGGCGCGTGGGGGGGCCCTTTCCGGCGCGCGGCCGCGGATGCCCCGGTGGTCGTGCGTGTCGGCGCCGGGCCACGCACATCGCCCGGTCCGCAGGCAGGTGGCACCAGTGTGCCGGGAGCCTGTCCGATCGCCGGGCGCCTGGCTGACATGTCGCCGCGGCGGCCGGGTTCCCCCGGCTCCGCCCCCCGAGCACTGTGCCCCGCCCTGGCCACCACCCGGGCCACGACGACGCGCATCATCGCCGGCCCGCCGGGGCCGCTTTGTTATGCACGCGCGAACACGGGCCGGTGGTGCTTTGCCCAGTCATCCCCCCGACGGCACCTATCTCTCCCGCGCCCTCCGCCGGGGGCCGGCGGAAACCCAAGGGGACAGGGCGCCGCAGGCGTGTCCGCGCGCGCGCGCGCCCAGAGCCCGGCCGCAGGGGTTGGCACCGGCGCGAAGATAAGGGCCGATCTCGCCCACAGCCCGAGGGGCGCGAGGGGGCGCCTTCGGATTAGCCCGCCGGCCGGCCGGCAGCCCTGCCTCTGGAGCGCGGATGTCCGTGCGCGCTCCCGCCCCGGCTGGCACGGTCCCCCGGGGCACCCAACTCACCTCCCTTGGGCAGGTGCCCACGCAAAACGCCACGTTTTGAGATCGGAGAAGTTTATTGGCGGCTTCTTTTGCCTGCGTGTGTGTGTGTGTTCGGGGGGGGCGGGGGGAGGGGGTCCCGTGTGCGCGTTTCCCACCTCCGGAGAGGGGGAAATATGCCACAAGGGACGAGGTATGCTGGATGGGCCCCGCGCGCGCGCGCGTCCATCCTCCCCGTCGGGCGTGCGGGGCCTCCCCGCGGCGTCCGGGGGGGGGGGGGG